ATGGAATTAAAGAAAATGTGATATATATATATGTATACACACACAATGAAATACTACTCAACCTTAAAAATGAAGGGAATTCTTTTATTTGGGACAATGTGAATGAACCTAGACTTTAACTAGTATTCTATTTTGTCTCAAATACATTCATTTGTCTCAAATCTGGAGGACATTATGTTATCTAAAATGCATCAGGCACAGAGGAAAAAACTGCATGTTCTAATAATGATCTAATAAAGCTAATATATATGGAATCTAAAAAAGTTGAACCCATGAAAGTAGAGCATAAAAAAGTGGTTACCTGGGGCTGGGTAGGAAGGGAAGAATTGGGGAGATATTGGCCAAAGGATACAAAATTTCTGTTAGACCAGAAGAATAAATTGAAGACATTTGTTTTACAACATGGTGACCATAGTTAAAAACAATGTACAATATTATACATTGCTAAGGGAATAGATTTTCAATGTTGTCACCACTAATAAACATGTGAGGTAATAAAATGGTAGGAGGGTAGTTTAATTTAGCCATTCTACAGTGTATACATATTTCAAAACATGTCGTGCACCATAAGTATATAAAATTTCTATTTGACGTTTAGAAAATAAATAAGAATACAAAAAATTCTGAGACCATTGAACTTTTCTGGGAGGAAGTATAAATACTGAATGCATAGGCATAGTGCCAGTATTTTTATCTTAATTTATTTCTCAATAACATTATTATTAGAAACAAAAAATTATTAATTTTTAAAATACACAGCTGTTTTACATATAAAATTTAGAAGGTAAGGATAATGCAAATAGTAACATTAATGAAGAAAAACATTTAAAATTACTCTCATAAGTCTGTTTTTAAAATCAAAATATTATTTAGGATTCTATTTAAGTATTAGTTGAAGTGATTTTGGAATTTTAGTCAAAACTTGTAGCTTTTGTTTAAAATGGCCAATAAAGTTAGAAGCATTGCCCTTGTGGAGTAAATAGGAACCAACACTGCCATCATGGATATGCAAGGACATCAAACCCAATTCAGGTCAAGCCTTGTGAAAGGGCCTTTGAGGAAGCCCTTCCTGAAGGCCATTATGAGAACATGAAACCACTAGCCTCTCCCATGTTCCAGGTTCATATCTGCTAAATAACCATTTCCTTTAGCATCCTCTTAGCAATCTTTGGAAAATGACCATCTAGTTGGTATCTATCTCCAGCTACATCAGTGAGCTGTACAGTTCCATTACTGAAGCTGTCTGTTTCAAGTGTTTCTTTTATTTTAAGAGTACAGTTTGTCAGTTGTATTGGCAGTAAATTTAGCTTTGAAAGGTAGTATTCTTCCATTTCAGACACTAAGAATTATTTGTTATAAATCAGGTGTGAAAAACTTAAATTGGAAGAGAGCTAGTGAAGCATTTTTCTTCATAAATGGATGAATTGAAGATTTATGAATTTAGTAGTCAGAGAAAATATTTTTTTAAAAAAACCTTCTGAGAAATGTTTCATTTGGCCATAATTTAATGCTTCTGAAATTGAGCAATAGATTTTGATTATACTCAACAGAAAGAAGAGTGAATGATAGCTCAAATTATATCAGATTCAGAATAGTAGAACTAGAAAAGACATTAGAGATAGTTTATCTGCTTTAAAAATCATAAAGTGTCAGCCCATAGATCAAATGTAGTCATTTGATGCTTTAAAAAAATAAATCCCCACTGGTTGTTCACAAATGTATACAAAATTTTAAATTTCCTTTATTGATTGACAAATCACACTAGACTGGAATTATTGTACAGTAGTTACATACTGTCTCATTCCTAACTTCCATTCCTCTCCCTATTAATTCATATTCAGCCCATTTTATTCAATTTGGTTATGTTCCTACCTTCTCTGTCCATCTGGCTTAATGAATCCTGATTTATACCAACTCCATCATTTTGTATTCAAGACATATGTGACTCCAAAGAGAGTATGCAGTTTGCCCCTATCATGTAACTGGTACTTTCCACAACGTAAAACAATAATAAAAATAGTATTTTTTATTAATATTGTAAATTTTAATCCTGCCAAAGAATAGAAAATAATTGATATTTTGTAATCTAATACTCATTATCATGGAGGTTCATTTAATTCTTTTCTGGAGAAGACTGTATAGTATGTTTTAATTCTGGCAGAAATAAATATACTGGAACAAATAAGACAAAAATTAATGAGGAGAAATTTTGTCTAGAAGTAAATCTCTTTAAAACATTTACTAACAAATAGAATTTTAAATGCTTTTAGTGGTATGCATAGGATTTAAATGTCTTCTTAAATTATGCCAATTAGTTTTTTTTAGTATTATTTCTATCCTAATTGTCAGTTAAAGTTAGCAAAAACGCACACATGTATTTTTTAATATTTGAAAGAAGACGTATCATTTTTCTTTTCTGTTTTTTATTTATTTATTTACTTTTGAGACTTAATCTTACTCTGTCACCCAGGATGTAGTGCAGTGGCGTGTTTTTGGCTCATTGCAACCTCCGCCTCCTGGGTTCAAGCAATTCTCATGTCTCAGTCTCCCAAGTAGCTGGGACTACAGGAGCACACCACCACAACCAGCTAATTTTTGTATTTTTAGTAGAGATTGAGTTCTACCATATTGGTCAGGCTGGTCACAAACTCCTGACCTCAGGGGATTCACCCAGCTCAGCCTCCCAAAGTGCTGGAATTACAGGTGTGAGCCACCGCACCCGGCCCGACATAGCATTTTTCTCATGTTAAAGCTAAAGGTGTATAAGTTGCAGATGTCATATTCCCATACTGTATAAGGATTAGCAAAGAGATGAATTATGGAAAGTATAAAATTTAGCTTCTATCTTGTGTAGTAACACAAGATAGACAAGTAAACAATTTAAGTAATGACTACTTCCACAAATAGGAATTCAGTTTTTGAAAATTATCCCCTAATATGACTGACATATTTTCTTGTATTAAACTCTTGATAAGTAATATGTATCTTAATCTGTCATAAATTAACAATCCATTGTTCAAATACTAGTTTTGTATTGTGGCATAATAATATTACCATAAACTTAATGGGTTAAAACAACACATATATTGCTTTGAATTTCCTGTAGGTCAGGAATCCAGGCATGGGTTAGCTGTGTCCTCTCTTTTTAAAAGGACTTGCATAATCTTTTAATCAAGGTGCCAGATAGGGCTACGGTCTCATCTGAGGCTCAACTACGGAAAGATCCACTTCCAAGTTCATGTGATTGTTGGCAGAAATCAGTTTCCTGTGGCATGTTGTATTAAGGGCCTCAGTTCCTTGCCGGCTGTTAGTCAGCCATCACCTTGAGTTTCTTGCCATGAGGACTGCTTCATGTGGCAGCTTACATCCTCAAATCCAGTGAGGGATATAGCCAAAAAGTTAGCTAGCAAGAATCTAGTCAAGTCGTAATCTTGTGTAGTATGTCCATTGAATTTACATGAGACATATACATCACATGAACACTGTGCAAAGGATAAAGTGCCCCCATTGACCAGAGTTGGTTAATGTGTTTATGCATGTGCTATGGGGATTGGCAAAGCCTTACCCCAAGCACTTGTACTGAGAAGGAAAGAGGCAAGATTATCAAAAACAATACTTGGATGTTATCAAAAGAAGACAAACAAAACAAAACAAAACAAAACATGCAGGACAGTAAAATAAGTAAGCGAATAAATAAACTGATAAATATCTATACATTCCATTTAAAAATTATACAGATTGATTCTTATTCTTCAGCAAGAAGCAGTTATTGCTCATGCAGTGACTATATGGACCACCATTAGGTGCTAGAGTATCTGTGAGAAAGATTGCTTTGCATTGAGATAACCTAGTCAATTAAGTGTGTGGATGGCAATAGCAAAAACAAAGCAATAAAGCAATTTGGACAAGATGTTTGTAAAGCCTTGTGTGCAATTTATACCTCAGATTAAATTTGTATTTCAGGATTTTTTGTAAAAGCTTTCAATGAAAGCACAATGTAATTGCATAATGTAACTTAGAAGAACCACTGTGTCCATTCTATTAAGTTCAAAACTCTGTCATAAAAATGGATAATAAAAATAAATAAATAAATAAATAAATAAATACCACCACACACCTATTAGAATGTCTGAAATCCAGACTATTTAACACCAAAAGCTGGCTGGAATGTGGAGCAACAGGAACTCTCATTCATTGTCAGTGAGAATACAAAAATGGTACAGTCAGTTTGGAAGAGAGTTTGGCAGTTTCTTAAAAGACTAAACAGTCTTACTATACAATCCAGTAATCATGCTCCTTAATATTTACCCAGAAGAGTTGAAAACTTAGAGTCACAAAAACCTACACACAGAGGTTTATAGCAGCTTTAGTCATAATTGCCAAAACTTGGAAGCAACCAAGATGTTTTTTATTTATGGAAATAAATGGTGGGTACATTCAGACTATGAAATATTATGTAGTGCTAAAAATGAAATAAGCAATCAAGCCATAGATGTCGAGGTACATTGAATGCATATTACTAAGTGAAAGAAGGCAATCTGAAAAGGCTACATACTGTGTGATTCCAGCTATACAACATTCTGGAAAAGACAAAACCATAGAGACACTACAAAGATCAGTGGTTGCCAGAGGTTGAGTTGAGGGGAGGGATGAATATAAGGGCACAGAAGATTTTCAGGACAGTAAGAATACCCTATATGATACTACATGAAGGTGGATACATGTCATTACATATTTGTCCAAACTCATAAAATGTACAACAGCAACATGCACCCTCATGGAAACAATGGACTTTCAGTGATAATGGGGTCAACATAGGTTCATCAGTTATGACAAATGTAGCAGTCGGGTGGGGGATTTGATCACGGAGGAGGCCATGAATGTGTGAGGGCAAAGGGTATATCAGAAATCTCTTATCTTTCTCTCAATTTTTCTGTGAACCTAAAGTTACATCAAAATTATACTTACACATAAATACATCATCTTCTCTAAACCTGCAGACCTCCTCCAGTAAGTGAACTTGCCACCAAAGGAACCATGGTTGCTGTAATTTCTGCTGCTGCCATTAATCAAAGTATTGTATACTCCATTGTTTCAGGAAATGAAGAAGGTGAGTAGACTTTTAGTTTGTGTTCTCACCATCAACCAGTAAACTTAGATTTGGACTAATTTCAGATGTAATTTATATTACTATCTATCCTATTGTTTTCTAATAAAATTGTGCCCATCTTAAATGTAATTAGTAACCATGTATCCTGAACTTAATTAAAAATCCAGTTATGTTAGCTCAAGTGGTTTTTTTCCCTTAAGAAATATTACGTGTCTAATTAATGAAACCTTGCCCTTTTCCTCATTTGGTAATATTTTAATGACATTTCCTCAAAATTAATGCGTCATGAAATTTTCAGCTTTTGGCTATGATCATTGCCTACAGTAGCTTCATCCATCCCCCTGTCTGAACCATCCATGACCCTTACTCCATGTTGGTCATACCTTAACTAATCCTGAAGGAATTTCAAAATTGTAAATAAGTGTGAATTTTAAAAAGAGTCACATCCATGTTAAAAGCCATGCATGTTATATGATTCCCCAAATAGTCAAATTAGACATATAATTAATGATTATAAGTAAAGATATAATGTTTGTATATTAATCACTTTAAGAATCATAGGAATTTGCAGGCCTCTGGCAATAAGTTCATAGCTCAGTATGTCACATTAATCTTTGTTTTACCTATTCTTCACAAGTTCTCCTCTGTTTTCCATTTTGGTATGTTAGATAGCCTAGCGTATTGTAGGTAGTCAAGAAATAGTTAATATATATGTAATAAATTAATCAATAGTAAATATTTAAGAAAGGACTGAATGTAAATGCTTCAAAGCAGTTTGCAAGGAAATTATAAAGGCCTTTTTAAGCTTTTTAATGACAAACTATTACTAGGTATTGCTGCCTGTGCAGTGTAGCAAGTGATCAATATCTTACTTTTATTGCCTTTCTTTCTTCATTATTACTGTACTACTATGGGTCCTCCCTAAAAATAACTAAACTTCCTTTTTCCTTGAACTTTGAATGTCTGACTAAAGCTATAATTTCTCAACCTGTTCTGTTCTGAAACTTTCTCTTTATGGTTCTATTTATTCTTTTATTTGAAGACAGCAGAGTGGCTGTATTTATTAACCTCTCTCCCCCACAGTGACTATTTTACATTCATTTATTAATTCATTCAACAAATATGTATTGAACATCTATTATGTATTAACTACTCTTCTAGCCACTACAGATAGAGCAATGTACAAAATAGATTCCTGCCCTCATGGAAGTTAATGGTCCAATGGGGGGGGGTTAATAATAAAAATGTAAAAATTATTAAACAAATACATAGTATTATAAGTGATTATTAATTCTATGAAAAAATAAAGTAAGGAGAGAATATGGCGGGCTTAAGAGAGGGAGATGTATTATAAAGTTTGCCAGTGTGCTCTGATTTTCATTCAAATTAATTTAAAAAGACATAGGGCAACATTAAATTATCTGGTTTTTTTTTTCCTCTCAAGTGTTCTTAACAAAACACTAAGTCTACAAAATGATAATATTCATAAATTACAAACAGTATAATAAGCCAGTAAGGTCAGAAAATTTTGGTTAAACAAAACTAGATGGTTTTCTTTAAAACAGAACTTCTGAAAGCCTTCAGTGTGGTAGAACACCATCTGAGTCTAAGGTGAAGAATATATTATTCAGTGTTTCCCAAATGTAATTAACTATAGAACATTGATTTCCAGGATTATCTCAAAACAACAAAAACAAACAAACAAAAAAACCCCTACAATTTCAAGGCTGATTTTAGCAAAATATTGATGGTGATCATTTAAAGAGCTGGAGCAGTTTCCAGAAGCCAGCATTTTGTCACTTTCATGCATCACTCTACTTATAAATAGGTATTTTTAGTGTTTTTGATATCACAGTGCCTTTTAAAGAGAATTTCTTTCCTTATAGCATAAAGACAATGACTAGGTAATTGTATTTTAATTTCTAGATACATTTGGAATTAATAACATCACAGGTGTTATCTATGTGAATGGACCTCTGGATTATGAGACCAGGACAAGCTATGTTCTTCGAGTCCAAGCTGATTCCCTGGAAGTGGTACTTGCCAATCTCCGAGTTCCTTCAAAAAGTAAGTTATACTACTTAAACCTTTTACGAGAATTGTATGGTGTCTCTGCTAATTTTTTAATGAAATACCTGTGTCTAAAATATCATTCTCACTGGACAACATAGAAAGATCATTAATACTCTGAGATGATTGCCTATTTGTTTAAATAGCTAATATATGACAATGCGGGGAGTGATTTCATACTCCTGAAATGTCAAGAAAATAAAACACCATTTTCAAATTGTGTATCTGATATTGTTAAAATACCACCATTATCTGTGTATGTTAAATAATAAAAGTTAGTCCCACTGTGAAAGCTCTGGATAAACTTTGGGAAATAGATATTTTTAATGAATGACTACTAGAAATTGCCTGCATTGTGTGGCTTCTTGTATTTACATATTTTCTTAGAGAAAAGAAAAATTCATCTTAAAATGAGTGACTAACCTTTATTGTAATTCGTATATAGCATCATTTTTTATTTTTAATTTACACATTTTAACCTACATTTTTAATCTATGAAATGAGAATTACTATCCTTTTACAAAGGAAAGATTTTATTAATAATTAAAAAGATTAATTTTTTTAAATGACAGTAAACAAAGCGTCACAGATTTAAGACCACGTTCTGTGACTCTAAACTTCAATATTTCTGTGGCATATAGTTTACCCACACAGAGAAGCATGTAAAAGCCAATTTGTGAAGGGAACTGACACAGATTCAAAGATGTTATCAATAATACGATAAATGCTATTCTTTTCCCATCTATTGAGGTAATACTCTTTTGCATTTAAGCAATCATCCCTTTGTAATCAAAGCAACCCTTTTAAAATCTAGAAGACTCAAGATAATCAGGTTTAATTTAACTATTAATAGAATAGAGGCCCAGACAGAGTGTGAAGTGAGAAACAGAATCTGGAACATTCACCCGGGGACTATCCCTGGACATCATTTCAAGGCATTTCATCAAGGAAACGTTCTTAGAAGGGGGAAGAGGAAAAAAGAAGAGGGGAGAGGCATAAAGCGAGAACCCAGGCAGTGTGAGAGGAAAGAAAGCAAGACAGGAGCAACAGGCAGAAGATGCAGGATAGAATTTTTCTGTGTCAATTTGGCAATTGATCATAAAAAGAAATCACTCCTTTTCATTTATCGCAAACCTCATGTACTGATTTAGTGTAGAGAGCTGCTCAGTTTCTTGTAGAGGTACAACCAAATCATTTGAAAAATCAGATTATACAGGTGTCTTTGAAATAAAAGGAATTAAATTGTCCTCAATAATTATGCATCACTCACGTAATTAAATTGTTTAAAAATAGCAGATAAGTTCTTTGAGTTTCTAAATTCTTTGAACTACAGGCAATTATGTTTTTAAAAATATAGAGGATGCTTCTAATTGTAAACTGAATTGGATAAATGAGGAGTGAAAAGGTTGAAGTAGCTTTAAATTATATAATGTAACCTATTTTATTGCAAATGCAAATAAATGGGAAAGATTAATTGAAAACTATACCTGCAATCTTTACTCACAACGAACAACTTAAGAAAGAAAAATTTTAGGTTGTAGAACTTGACATTTCTCAAGTAATACCTGTGGTTTTTATGAATAGAGGTGCATTAAGTTCTTATATGTGAATATAATACAACTAACTCCCATTACTTTAATTTACATCTAAATCTGAGGCTAATAAAAGTTAATCTAATGCACATGTATATACTTCCATGTGCCCCAGTATGCATGTAGAGGTGAAACCAATTCATGAATTATCCTGTCAGAAATGCTTGAAGTCTAAAAGCTAAAGTATTTACTGCCTGATTCTTTGAATATTGTTATTAACCTTTTATGACTGATTTTGCCTCCTAAGTTTGAAATAAAAACCCATATATTTCTAATTTGATCTCATTAATTAATAACTGTTAATGGCCTATAGTCAATCCCCAGGCCATTAGATATGCAAATAAGACCATTATGTAAATTGAGGTTAATTAATTAGTTAGCTAAATGTTCATCTCTGCTGCAGAATTCGTTGCCCTGCCACATATCATTTGAATAAAGATAATAAAAATAAGTTTAATTCATTACAGAAGTATTTTATTGTGACTTCTTTACCAAAAATTTGTTAATGAAATTATTTTCAAAGTAGATTGTGCAACCATGATGTGATTAGATTTAATATTTAAATGCAAACTAATTAAAATGTAAAATTTTAGAGCTCATTTCATAAGTTTAACACTAGGAATATTTAAATATTTTAACCTTTTAGTTGGAACATTTCAAACATATAAAAATTACAGAGAATATTACAGTGAACCTCTATGTATCAACTGCCTGACTCAACTTAATCATGCCCTGGGAAATAGTCTTTCATCTTTGCTCTCAACTACCCACTATTGCATTATTCTGAAGCAGGTCAGAGTCAGAGCATTCAATCTGTAAATATGTTGATATGCATATCTTAAGGACTCTTAAACCTTAATTAAAATATCATGATTACTCCTGCCAAAAGTAACAAATTATTTGATATCAACATATATCCAGTTGGTATTAAACATAGTTCATATTAAAAATATCTAGTTCATATTAAAAATATCTAGTTCATATTAAACATGTATTTACATCAGAATTCAAATAAGGTCTATACATTGACATTGGTTGATAGGTCTGTTAAGTCTCTTTTAATCTGTAGGCTTCACCACTACCACCCTCTTTTATTCACCTTGGTATTTATTTATGCAAGAGACCACATTTCTGAAGCCTGGATTGATGACTGTCTCTCCAAGTGGTCATTTCATGTTCTTTCTGCTTCCTTTATTTCCAGGAAATAAGTAGTTAGATCTGGAGGCTTGATCATATTCGGGTAATTTTTGGTTTTGTTTTTAAACAAATAAATCATAGGTGATATTCACTCATTCCTTAAACATTAAATCTCTTTGATTCTCTTTTTGTGAAACAGATAGTAGCAACCACCAATAGTAATGTTCTAAATCCATTATTTTTTCTTTTTATTACTTCTATATTCATTAGCCAAAATATTTCTATAAAGAAAAATGTCTCCATAGCAAATATTCAGTTACTCTGAGGTGCAGCAACTATAGGAAAAACAAGGGAAAAAAAACTTTGATTCTTTCCTTTTATTATTGATTTTCAAAATAATGAGTTGATTCACTATTACACTCAAAATGAGAATACTGAGATGACAAATATGTTTGGTTTTCTGGGTCATATGGTCTCTGTCAGAACTACTGTACTCCATTGTAGCTTAAAAGCAAGAAGAGATAATATGCAAATAAAAGGGTTTGGCTATGCTTCCATAAAACTCGTTTTACTAAAACAGGCTGTCTGTGGGCTGGATTTGACCAAAGGGCTGTAATTTGCCCACAGTTGTTCTAATACTTACTTTTACATTATATGATACACTGTATTTTTTTTTTTTTTTTTTTTTTTTTTTTGCCCTGTGCATATTGTTCCTGTTGTGAGCAATGCTTCTGCTTCATCCCTTATTTTTTTCCCACACATCTAATTGAAAGTCATATTGTTTTATCCCTCATAATATCAATAACACATTCGGTCATTTCGTTATCAGTAGGCCATTCTCAAGTAAAGTCCTCAATGTAGCATTATAGGGACACTATTTCCTATGTTTTGGTGCATTAAGAAAAGAAGCTTATCTTAGGGCTTTAACATTGAAGACCAATTTGACTGGATAACTTGACTCATTTTCTTTTTTAAATTAATTTTTTTCATTCCATTTTCTTATTCTTTGAAGCATTACTGTAAAAAAATGTATAATGACAAACTGGTCTTATTTCTGAATTTCCAAATAATTGCCTTTATTTTTTCTTTAAAGTTCAGTATTTTTATCAAAATATTTCTACATGTTGGCAATTCCGGGTCATTTTATATATATATATATATAAAATAACTGGTCAAGTCTCACTTAAGGATTTTTTTTTTAATTCTAGCTTTTATTATTTTTTATTAATTTGACATCTATTCTGGTGTTACTGGCCACAGGTTCTTCTGCTCTCGTGTAATAGAAACTGACATAAGGCTAAGGAACTTTCCCAGACTCCAGGCATTATTGGAACTTATGCTGGAGCACAAGGAAAGCAGCCCAGAAGAGAGAAAGTCCTCTTGCTGCCTCCTTGAAGATAGCCAAGAGAGTAATTTTAACAGGCCTAGCCATGAAAGGAGTGACACTGAAGCGTGTAAAGACGGGGAGTTTACAGCACTTGCACAGTTTGATAACATGCTTCTTCATGTGTCCCATATCTCATTAACATGTTACATCTCCCCTGCTGGGTGTGATTTTTTTTTTTCTTTCTTTGAGACAGAGTCTAGCTCTGTCTCCCAGACTGGAGCTCAGTGGTGCGATCCTCATTGCCAGCTCTGCCTCCCGGGTTCACACCATTTCTCCTCCTCTCCTCCCAAATAGCTGGGACTACAGGCGCCTGCTACCACAGTCATTTTTTTAGCCCTCTGTGCATGTGTGTATTGGGGGCCAACTTCCTTGAGTAAGATGTATGATGGAATGTCCCTCATCTTGGTTTCTCTAGGTAACTTACAGCTTGCAAACTCTTGTGGTCAGTGGGGATGGCATGAGTGGGGTGATGTTGCCATCACCTTACCGTGGTGCAAGTTCTGGTGACTAGTGTGACTGCATGAAATAATGCTCTAGTGGAGGTGATCCGAACCCAAAGTTCCATCCCTCCTCTGTCTCACTGGGAGATTCCTAGTACACAAGTGTTGAATCTTCTCATATCTTTTCATCACTTTCTTGCTGATCTCTTTGTATTAGAGCACATTACTGTAAAGAAATACCTGAGACTGGGTAATTTATAAAGAAAAGAGGTTTAATTGGCTCATGGTTCTGTAATCTTTTCAGGAAACATGGTGCTGGCATCTGCTGTGGTTCTATCCAGGCCTCGGGAAGCTTATAATCATGGTGGAAGTCAAAGGGAGAGCAGGCACATCACACGGCAAAAGCAGTAGCAAGGGAGAGAGAATGGTGGGGGAAGGTGC